TCGAGGAGGTACTCACTGCAATTAGAAAATTCAAAATTTTTGAAAAAATATCAGGGGAGCATGACAATCGAGGATATAATATTCACTCCGTCGCCTGGTCCCTCTGACAGCAGGATTGCTACTGAGGGCCTGAGGCAGTTACCGAGTCGGCTGACGAGCAGTCTCCCCACCTCTGCGTGTGGCGCCCTCCCTCTCCTGGGGTGCACTACGATGCCGCTGGGGTCACTCAAACCCCCAGACCTGAGCCTCTACTTTAGTCAATCCTCATTGGTGTGTACGGTGCGCAGCTGTTCCTGATCGCCGAGAGGGGAGAGCGGTGGGGGGTCAGGGCTGTACATCTGCCCATTTCTTCTAGGAAATTCCCCGGCTTTGGTCACCTACCTGCAAATTCTGCAAAACCACCATGACCCTATTCTAGGCTCTGGCAATCCGTCCAAAACCTTCTACTCCACCCCGAAAACACGTCACCAATGTTAAACCCACAGTTATGCCTCACCGAGTTCAAGGAAATTAACGGTATGCCCCGATAAAAATATTCGTTCACCAAATGTGTGAATTTCAACCAACAGTTCAAATTTCATTATTTCACTCAATCAACATTTTTTGTGAAATTGAATTCAATTTAGGAGAGTTCAATTTTTAATTTCTTATTTTTTTTCTGAATGGAAATGTAAGAAACTATAATGACTTATGAAATTTTAACATATATCGTCCTAGCGTCTTATGACTTTAAGTTAATGAAATTAAAATTAAATTTTATCGTAGAGCCTTCTTTGTCAAAAATTTTCGCAATTCTAAATAAAAAATCCAAAAATCATTTTATTTTATGTTGTTGAACGAAAAATGTTCGATAGATTGAAATTGAAAGGAAAAATCTAGGAATTTGGTGAAAAAGGGTGGAGAATATTCTTGAAATAGGAGAATATTCTTTCCAGGAATACTGGGGCCCTGGATGTTTGCAAGTACACAACTGTATCCCCGGTAAAGTATCCTGGCAGTGGGGATTTGGGAGAAAGAGGGGAAATGGGGTACGAGTGATCTGTACCGGCGCCGCTGCAGTGACCGGCTGGTGTCCGTGAGCGCCTGGGTGTTGAAAACGTGGGGCAAAACGTGGCCCAACATCATAAACTCCTCGAGCGTCCTGGCAAATTTTTCGTCGTCTCATGGGCCGCCCCCTCCCCCCTTCCCTCAACAACTCACTAACTCTCCCTCTCTCACCCATTATTACCCGAAAATCTCTCACTCGCTCCATCGCTCCCAAGGGGTCTTTAAAATCCACCAAAGGTGTAATCCAACAGTCTGACTGCAGAAGTTCAGGTGAAGTTGGCAAGAGGAGTACCCAATAAATTTGTACTCAACTTTAAAAAGGGATAGAAAAAAACACGCAATCAATTATTTGGAGGGCTCACGCGCTTTTCCATGTCAACGACACGCGTGATCCTTCCAAGGCCAGCGTGCTACGCCCCGGTTAAATACACAAGTCCCACTGGATTTTTTTTCACGTATCAAAAACGTGAAACTGACTGGGGCATTTTAAATAATCTTGACAAGTGGAATTGTGGAGGTTACGTGGATAAAAAACGTCAGCATACTGGCGACACACTGAGATTGAGAAAACGAGAAAGAGTCTCGTGCATCTCCGCCGTTATTGTTGGAGTGAGATGAGCGACCATGGCTGTATACACTTGAATAATTTTAAAGCTGCCAAGGGAATACAACCTTACAAAGTAATACATTCTTACTTTGTCACTAGTACTTCGGCAGAGGCACGCATCAGGAAGGTGGGATATTTTTTTATTTTCAACTATTGAGATTTCTGGAGCAAGTTTTTACGAGGATATGAGCCGGTTTAATTTTGGTCTTTCGAAGCTTTTTTTGGGCGACAATTTACTGATAAGTTGATGATGAATCAGTCCAGATTTGATAAATGGTCAGATTAAATTGCGAAGGACCGAGAGGGGTCAGAGCATTTTGGTGATAGGCTGGGATTGCCCAGATTTCATCTTTGATGTTTAGGTTATAATCATAACGCTCGGTTGTAGGGTTGACAAGACTCGTGGTTTGTATACTGGGGTACTGGCGAAAATGCAAACACCCTGTATTTACATGCACACTAGTCCCTGTGATTCTATACGTGACACGGCCCACACGGACGATTCATTCAGTCTTCCAGGGTCGAACATTAGACTTGGGTCACCCTGTGCGTTTCGCCTTCCACTCGTCAAATCAATTTCTTCGTTTTCACAATGCTCCTCTTCCAATTACACGCGCTCTTTGATTTTTTATGGCTTTTGTATACAGTTGCCAATGAAAAAAATTAAAGAGGCATTCACGAGAAAGAGCAATAATATTTTATGGGGACTGTCGTATTTTCCGGCGAATTTAGTGGGGAGTAGTATAATGAGTAAGGGATTGGGGGTTGGAGATGAATTTTTCTTCATATCATTGATGAGAATATTTTTTTGCAGGCCGTCAGCTGCTTATGTCATACTTGCAAGACCCACAAGGATCGCCTGCATTCTTGCTTGCACTGTATATTTTTTGGTTGCTACGTCGGTGGTCACATTCAGGAACATGCCAAAACGAAGAAACATTTTTTAGGTATTTCATTGGTTGACCATAGTTTCTGATTAGTTTTCAATAGCTATGGATTTTTATGACTGTCAATTTATATAATGCTGTACAGAGAGATGGATTTGAACTATTTGCCGGTGAATTATGTAATGGATTTGCACGTTCCGTTTCAGCTGTGGATCTTTGTTACGGTAATATTCTGTGCTTCCAATGTGGAGATTATGTATACGACAGGGAGTTACTGACAGTAGCCAAGGCACAATGGAGCGAATCAGCGAAATCCTTGAGCTTAGGAGAGTTCTATCGCGCCTGGGAGCCGACCCAGGTCGAGGCGGAATTGCTGAGAAAACATCCACGTCGGCGGCGCGTTGTCGAGAATTCAACAATTGGTATAACAGCATTTCCATATTTATCATGACTTATCTAGTTATGGCGTATATCTGATGATGGAAAAATAACACAGGTCTGAGGGGTCTCATAAACTTAGGCAGCACGTGCTTCATGAACTGCATCGTCCAGGCCCTCACCCATACTCCACTCCTGCGAGATTATTTTCTCGCTGATCGTCACCACTGCCCTCAGCCAAGTCGCTGTCTGGTTTGTGAAGTGTCCCATCTTTTTCAAGAATTCTATTCAGGGAGCAAAGCACCGCTCACACTCCATAAACTTCTCCATTTGATATGGACACACGCCAGACACTTGGCTGGTTATGAACAGCAGGATGCTCATGAATTTTTCATTGCTACTCTGGATGTACTCCACCGACACTGCGAAGCTGCGCCGATTTTCGTTAAAGATAATCCACATCATTGCAACTGTATTATCGATCAGATATTTACTGGAGGGTTGCAGAGTGATGTTGTGTGTCAATCTTGCAAGTAAGTAATGAATTTTTGGTGGATTATTGAGAATGTTAAACGAAAAAAATTCCATTGCATTCCCATATACATTTATTAGCATATGCTCAATAAATTGAATTGTCTCCAGTGGAGTCTCCACAACAATCGATCCATTCTGGGACATATCTCTGGATCTTGGTCCAACAGCCGGTGCATCTGGCTCAGATAGCAATGGACCCCCAACATCACTCCTCGATTGTCTAGAGCGTTTCACTCGAGCTGAGCATCTGGGCTCGAGTGCTAAAATCAAATGCAGCAAATGTCAAACTTATCAGGAGAGTACGAAACAGCTAACAATGAAGCAACTCCCAATTGTCGCTAGTTTCCATTTGAAGCGCTTCGAGCACTCGAGTATCCAGGATAAGAAAATATCGACGTTTATCTCATTCCCAGAGCAGCTCGACATGTCGCCATTTATGTCACACAAGCGCAATGGCAACAATAACAGTGATTCTATCGAGGGCCTCCCTAAAAATGGAGAAGACGCGGCATTCAGTGATAATCGATACTCGCTTTTTGCCGTTATTAACCATGAGGGCTCACTTGAGACTGGCCACTATACTGCATTCATAAGGCAACAAAGGGATCAGTGGTTCAAGTGTGATGATCATCTGATTACCAAGGCGAGACTCAAGGACGTTCTGACCAGTGAAGGGTGTGTATTTTTAATCGTATCAACGACAACTCGAATGGATTGTCTTAATAACGGCGAATAAATTCCTGCATTTTTTTATATGTTCCAGATATCTCCTCTTCTACCACAAGCAAATCCTTGAGTATGGTCGTAGTAGCAAAGCATGAGAGCCAAATTTTCCGTAATTAATTTATTTATTTTGTTATACTGACGAGCATATTTCACTGTGAGAGTCCAATCAATTTGACACTCACTGACTAATGTATGTAATTTTACCTCTCATCTCATGCTCAATGCGATTTGCACATTCGTTTCGTTTAAATACTGCCGATTACGAAGAAGTTAATTTTTTTTTCGAATGCTTAAATGACGTAATGATTGACGAAGTTTTTGTAATCATGTCCTTAACTAGGAGATACTGACGAATCAGATCCTGAAGTTGGTTATTATTTGTCGTGTGATTGTGAGTGTTATGGAGTCATTTTTTTTCTCAATTTTGCAATGCTCTTCTCAATTTTTTGTGTTTCGAGAACAAAATTGATGTCTACGAGTATAACCAATGAATTCACTTGTCCACGTCTATTTTGATTGAATCGTAGATTTTTAAGATTAGCTCAATTTTTTAATGATGACAAGAAAATATGAAAATGAACGATCCTATCTTTTGTAAATCACCGACTGGTTATTATTGAATATTCAGTCCCCGTTTTCCCTCTGTTCCCCGACTGTAGCGATGTAAGCTCGATGATGGAAGCACTCTATTCTTCGCATTGATTTAAAAATATTTAACGATCTATTTCTATAATGTTAAGACTGCAGCGATTAAACATACAACGGAGTATAATTTTAGAAGAACCAATTGAGCCAAAGCAGATGAGGTTTTTATCTGTTGGATAGGTAGTTTGCCATCCTGGGTCAGATAATTTTTGTACAAATGGAACAACATTACTGGTGAGATAATAATTAATTTATTATCTTGGTGAAAAATAAAATGCGATTTCGTTCGCCCGACTGTGTATAATAAATCAATGTTGAAAAACGAACAATTCATGTCTATAAATTAATTTCTCAAAACCTGCCAATCTTTCGGAAGAAACCTAACAATAAATACCCATAATAAAATTCACATCTATCTCTAACTGTACCGGGAAAAATCGTAATTTTTGAAGAGATATCCCAAAAAATACAGTTCAATCGAGATTTTTCGGAATTAATCACTGACTCCACGGTAAATTTAAAAAGCCCGCCAGGCCGTTTAAAATTACCATAATCAATATCTAGACGTCAGCTTGGCAAGAAGTGGAATAATATTGGTTGTGTCGCGTTTTTAGAACCATATATAGTAAAATAAAATCAATGATTGCACCATTTTTATTTTTTAATATATTTCAGGACGAGTGCAATAGGATTTTTTGATTGCGTGGCATTATCGTCCGAGCCGGAGGCAAGGACCGACATTTCACGCGAGTAAAGATTCCTATTGCACTAGTCATAAACGATATTCCTCCGTAGTGATTTTCCCATTTTGGAGTTCGAGGAAGAGCGAGTGCCAATCCCGGGACGAGGAAGAGTGAAGAGCAGACGAGAAAAATAATATAATTGCTTCATTGAACTGTGCAGTAAAATGAAGGAAAAATGGATGATTTCACGTTCGGATCGCACAGGTGAATACAAAATGCGCAAAAAAAAAAAAAATTTCAAACAACGTGCAAATAGTGACGTATGTTCTGAAAATATTCTATGTAAATTTTAGACTAGTTCATCTGGACCTCAAAGGTGCTCCACCCCGAGTTGCCTATTTTGAAAAGGTTCGTGAGATGAATGAACAACTTAATGTTTATCTTGATATGTCAACAATGGGTCTAGGACATCACATGAAAATGTGTATTTCAGTTATTCCCTTATTTAAGAACGTGGGGTGCCACAGGTTTGTTGTTGGAGTGGGAAGACACATTTCCATACAATCGAGAGCTTTCTTGCATTGGAAGTAATGGACCGAGAAGTCTAGGATGTGGCTACACAGCCCAGGAAGCTTTGCAAATATTGCAAATTGCTGGAGACTGTGGACTCGCTGTTGTTCCCCTAGTTCAAACATTCGGGCATTTGGAAGTAAATATCATTATAATAAGTAATTTAATGAATTACTTTTTTTTTTATTGAATGAGGATTGGGGATTTTCATTCATTGACTTTGACTATCGAATGTCGTTTTTAGTTTGTCCTGAAACACGACGAATGGAGATCTCTCAGGGAAGTGGAGAATTTCCCCAGTTCAATCTGCCCATCGAATCCTGCGACTCTTCCCCTGGTAAAATCACTGGTGACTCAGATTATATCGTTCCACCCTGATATCCAATACATTCATATTGGAGGAGACGAGATCTGGCACCTTGGGCTGTGCTCTCTATGCTCCAAACGGGCTAGTTTGAGCAAACATGGCAAATCCACCCTTTACCTGGAGCATGTGCTCGCCACTGCGCAGTACATCAAGGAGATGCGTCCCTGCTTGAAGATCATCATTTGGGATGACATGCTGAGGAGTACCGATTTGCAGGTTTTGAACGGTATTTAATGATTGACTCGTTTTGTCGCAGTAGTGAACTGGTAAAATAGGATGGAATCATCCAATGATTTTGTGTTCGATTATTTTTCAGAGTATTATTTTGGAAAATATGTTGAACCAATGATATGGCATTATAATTCAAGAGAAACATTTTCACTCCCCCAAGGTAAGTAATAATTTGCCTCCTTCTTCTCCTGAAATTGATTGTTTCTTCGATCCTTTGCAATTCGATTCAATCCTATGAATTTTGTCTGTACTTGAAGATTTATGGACGAAATACAATGCAGTATTCCCAAACATATGGGCAGCAACGGCTTTTAAAGGGGCTACAGGGTCAGCTCGACAAATTCCACTGATGAGTCATCACGTTAGTAATCACGAGAGGTGGCTGGAGGAACTTGGCACACATGGCAATAAAATCAATGAATTTCGGGGAACTGCATTAACTGGTTGGTCGAGATATGATCATTATGCAACAATGTGTGAGCTTCTACCCACAGCGATACCTTCACTGGCCCTGTGTTTGAGGGTATGGCTCCATGGCTACACCGAGCAAACTCACATGCAAGTTGCTAAGAGTCTTGGGTACATTGACCACCCAATGTGCATTAGTCCAGAACGTCCTGCACCAATACCCACTAATCTCTCCTATCCTGGGTGGCAATTAAGCGGAGGGATCGAGTGGTTTTTGAACTTCAAGATAAAGTTCGACGGCATGATCAATAGTGATCAGTAAGTATATCCGTCCAATATATTCAGGAGATTGTCTGGGTCAAGAGGTTGTCAAAATATATTCTTCCGTTATTTATAGAATTTTAACGTGGATGAATCCTTGGCAAGTTGCTAATAATTACACAAATCCAATGCAATTAGAAAGTCTCATTCCAGCGCTGACAGAGTGAGTACATGTCGAAATTTCGTGGGTTATGAGTAACATTAATTTAATATGCGAAAACTTATTTGCATTATTCCTTTTTTCAGTTTACTTCTCGAACTGACTTCCCTAGAGTCCTACCTGAAAGTTCAAATGGAAGCTATCTTTTTTCCTCCCACAATAGACGAGTGGGCAGGCACACATCTTGAACCAATGAAGAACAAGCTTTTTGAACTCAAACAGATAGCCGATAATCAAATTAAAATCAATAGTCGTGGTCAAATGATTCTACCTTAAATATTTTATAATGTAAAATTGGAGACTGAGTCTGCATTGACTAGTGAAATTTTACAATATAAATTTTTTAACTGATCTTGTCAAAGCAACTCCTAGGAAAAAAAAATGTAAATAACAGATGAACTTTCAAGTTTAATCTAGAAAATTTATTCTGAGATTATTTTATTCTGGAATTTTATGTTCATAGCTATAGAGAAGCAAATATAATATAGTTTTTTAATGAAATAATTAAATTTCATTTTTTAATTGTTCGGCCGGATATACATAATAATAAAAAAACGTTCCAGTCAAACTCGCCACAGTTATTCAATTCTTTCGTGAATTTGTTGACATATTCAGTTTTCACGTGAGTCCACCGAAATTGTCAATTAAGAAATACCGAAATTCCCATGAAATAATAAAAATGAAGATCTCTAAGAAGAAGTGTAAGAAACAATTCTAGTTTTGTTTAATGGAACATGTCAAAGTCCAAAGATCAGAATGAGGAATCCGATGTGGAACTAGATGAGTATTATCAAGAGACTATAGGTGAAACAAAACGTTATATTTCGCGTCTAAAGGATCCACAAGTAGCTCAAGTTTGCAAGAAATGGATTGAAAGACTGAATTACGCGAAGAACCAACGACCATTGAGGAACCAGTACCTCGCAGAGTTATATTGGAGATTAAAAGATGGACAAATCGAGGGGGTGTTCAGAAGAGCGCCATCGAAAGGTCCATTGGTACCTTATCAAAAGCCATTAGTAAGTTCTTTTTTAATTGCAGGCTTTCGCATCAATTAATCGTCAATTTCATCCATATTTCCATCGAAAAATGGAAAATGAAAGAACATTGAATGGCGATGATCAATTTTGATTCGATGTCTGCATTGATATTCTCGTCAGGTCACAGAGACAGATTCCTGCAGTGAGAGTTCTGCCTCCACACAAATAGCTCGTTCCTGTAAACACCACTGGGTGAGAAGTAAAGAGCCATCTCGGCCCGAATCACCACCCAAATCACAAGAGGTAGTGGATGAAACGGACGAAGCACTCAGTCAAGATGGAAGATCCGAACTTTCACCAAAAGCTCAATTCTGTCTGGAGAATACATCCAAAGTTCAATTGCATATTCACCAGCAGAAAATCGACCATTTGACAGACACTGTTAGAGGCTTACAGGCGAAGAATGAGTACCTAAATCAACAACTAATACGGAGACAAGGACGCGAGGATGGTAACGAAGTGCATCAACTTCGAGTGACTGTCAAACAGAAAAATGGGGAGATAAGCGATTTGAAATCTAGGTGAGAGAGTTTTGTAATGTCTAGGAGGCTGAGTTCACAGGTAAACTGAAACGTAGGGTCTTGCAAGTGCAGCAGATGAACAAGAATATTAAGGATTGCCACGAGGAGATTATCCATCGGTGCAGGGATGCCATGGATGAGCAGGTCCAGAGGTTCAAGTTTAAATTGAGGCAGGAGGAAATGAAGAGTGAACAATTAAGCCAAGAAGTTGATAAGTTGACGTTAAAAGTAGAGAAACTTTCTCAGGAAAAGGTGATAGAGGAGTTCACAAGAAAATTGAGGAGTTGATTTAATTCGCCTGAATTGATTCGCCTTTTTTGTTCCTCATTTTCCCATATTTACAGGAAGAAGAATTAAGGCTGAAGCAGGAAAATCAGGAAGAGTTACAAGCCGATCGAGAGCGAGCATTTGAATCGAAATACAAACATTTGGAGTCAATTAATGGAGATTTAATAAGGGAAAACGAAATGAAGGAAAAAAATATTCTTCTATTGAATACTAGACTTCAAGAATTAGAAAATAAATTACAATCAAAGTCCGAAGAGGTATAATCCAATTATTGCCAATGTTCTCGAAATATATATGTTCTCCCCCCATAGGAAGCTAAATTGCAGTCTTTGTTGAATGATCAATGTTCCACCATGAAAGATGAGTTCATGAAAATACGAAACGAGATGGAAGAAGCGAATAAACAACAGAATCAAGTACTCATCCAAAAGATATCAAGTCTTAAGAAGTGTCTCCTGAAGCTGGAGAAGTCGAAACAGAAGATTATTTTAGACTACAAGCAGAAGATCTTCGAAATGGAGAAAGTAGCGCATTTAATTTTTTCATTTCCTGTCGTTTATTCCTGTGAATCACTTCAATTCTGAATACACATAGAATAAGGAGATCGAGATGAAAACATTAGAACTGCACCTACAGGAACAACACAACGAGCTATCGACTTCTCTGAGCTCTGAAAAACAATGCGAACTAGATAGTCTAGTGAATATGTTGGAAGAGAGGTACAAGGGGTTTGTAATAAAAACAGAGGCAATGGCCGATAGTCAACGACAAAAATATCTTCAAGTACGATCATTCTAAATTCCTACACCATTGCCATCCCTCATATAACAATAACCCCAACAATTTTCTATTGTTCATCTTCATCTTCTTCACAGAAGCTGACAGACTTGGAAAATCAATTATGCTACTTGAAGAGTACTATAAAAACCGATGGGACTTACGTTTAGTAGACCATTCAGCCAAACAACACAGCTCGATGATTTCCCACACACACTTAAAGCACACAAATCACTCAACCGTCCGTTTAATAATTAAAAGAGCAATATTCACCAAGGCTCGACCGTTTTTTCCGTTACCATTGTTCACACTTCTGAGAAAATTCAAAAAACTGAGAAACAACCCCCAGCGCCAGTCGTTGCAATGAAAACACTTCTGCACTCGATCATATGGGAGAAATAACCTGAAATCTTTGTTTACTCCACTCCAGAGTGTGGACCGTGTGGACGTCCAAACTGACAGTGAATTATTGATTTTGAATAATATATCTTCTGGTTTATGGGGCGTTAGACAAGCAATTGTTACAATTTTAAATTTCAACAGATACTTTCAATCGCGCAATGCCTACGACAACAAGAACAGCACCAAATATCCTTATAACAGGTAAGTGACTATTTTTTTTTTTTCATTTAAAAAATTTGAACGAATAAATAATAACGCATTTGAAAATGTCAATTTGAATCATCACGATTAAATTCAATCATTCATATATATTTTAAAAAATTCCATCCTTTCTTTGCAATATATCCGTTGTTGGACATAATCGTGAAAATCATTAATTTTCGTTGATTATCTGTCAATTGCTGGTTGTAGGAACTCCTGGAGTAGGTAAAAGCACAATGGCTCAGAAATTAGCAGAAAGAACTGGTTTGACCTGGCGGGATGTGAGTAAATTAGCCATTGAAAATGGATGTCTCGAAGAGTACGATGAAGTATACAAATGTCCTGTGCTGGATGAAGACAAAGTTAGTCGAATCAAATGAGTTTTGAAAAATAAATCACCGACGAATTCATAATTATGATTTTATTTTATTATGATTAAGTGATTTGCTTTTAATACTGATATGATAATTTAATTTCCCAGCTGATGGACAGCATGGAGACGTACATGGGAAAGGGTGGCAACATCGTTGACTACCATGGGGCTGATTTTTTTCCAGAAAGATGGTTTGATATTGTTTTTGTTCTTCGGACCAGCAATACAATTCTCTATGATCGACTCACAGCCAGAGGCTACCTGGGGAAGAAACTGGAGGACAATATTGATTGTGAAATATTCCAGACAATTTTAGACGAGGCAAAGTCATCGTACAAAGAGGAAATTGTTCATGAATTGCAGAGCAACACGCAACAGGAAATTGAAGATAATGTTAATAGGGTCTGTCAGTGGCTGGAGCAGTGGAAGAAAGATAATCAATTCGTATGAATAAAGTTCTCTAAAGTATTTATTTATTTACAGTGCTAATTCATTCCCAAAAGAGATTCCTTGTTTGATCTAGTCTACAATCCCCAAATCCTGTTTGATTTTCTTCAGTCTCTCGTCTAAACTCGCGTAATATTTCATCTTCACTAGAATTTTTTTTGCTTCTTCGAGTTCATTATTGTGGAAGGCCTCTGACGCTTTTCTGGAATTATGCAATTGAATTGATATTGACAAAGGGTAGAAAAAAATTTTATTGCTGGAGCATCGAGAATACCTGGATAATTCTTCTAATATCGTGTGATTTTTCACGACTAATTTTTTTATTTTATCTTTATTATTCGCGGCGTCTTGAACTTCTTCGTTTCTCTCCATAATCTCCATGAGAAACATTGGGTCTAAACTAGTTGTTCCTTCAGGAATCGTAAGATTCTTCAATTTCAATAAATAGATTCCTCTATCAAGTGGATTTGTCAACGTTGCGTAAGCCTTGTTCAGTAAGGACGACAAGTTTTCAGAATATTGTTTTTCTCTCTGAAATGAATATTCATTAATTACTCAATTGGTTTATATCTCACAACTTCACGATTCTTTTGATACTTCATACGAAATGAAATATACTGAATGAATAAATTAGTCACCTCAGTTTTATTCCCAAACCTATCAGGATGCAGCAAATTCTGCAATGCCCTGTACTTTTTCCGCATCTCTTTATCCTGTACATCGTAATTCTTCTTGACCCCAAGAATATCGAAATAGTCGAGAGACTCTGGTGGCTCTTGGAGTGTTTTACACTTCTGGCAGAATAAGTCAGACTTGTAAGGAAAATCACACTGCCAGCATTTTTTCGGGCTCTCGCTGGAGTACAATGACACTCTCGATAATTTCAATCCTAAATCACTATCCCTTCTAGCACATACCGCATGAATTCCATTACGAGAACAATCCCTTGTAAACTTCGTCAAACCGTTTAATGTTAAGTTCAACATTGAGTTTGTCAACCTCAAACCCATGGTCCCGCTATTCTGAACGAATCCGTAATTCAATTATACTTCGCCAACAACTCATTACATCAATAATAACTCGAAGTTCTATTAAAAAAAAATCATTTGAATGCATTCAATGGTTAGAAAACAATCATAACAAAGCGCATGAAAAATCCTCTTCACCAACAGACAAGTCTCATAAACTTGCAAGTGTCAACACAAGATGGCGCATTCTCCATATCTCATTGCAGGCTTGTAGTAAATCTAAGATAACCCAAGATTAATCCTAAAACAAATTCCAAGCATAAATCGAGTGCACTTCAAAGAGATAATCGAGAGTTTGGAGTACACCTGCACCTCAACTTTTTCAATCAACCAAATGAGAGAAATGTCAATAAGTATTTAATTGAAACCGTATTGGTTGACTTACTGAGTCAAGAGATGATATCTATCGCGTTGAGAGGGAGATGGTGTGCACGCAGAAGTCGTCTATAAGCACGCCGGCTATAAAGTATATCAGCACGGAAAATGGGGGGAAATTTAGGGAGAAATGGTGCAGGGGGGGCGGTTTGGTATTAACGTTGCTTCAAGGGTGTATGTGTGTGCTTCGAAAGGGGAAGAGAATCGCGGAAGTTTTCACCCTGTCAGAGGGTGGCAAAAGCCATTTCAGTGTAGTCGTGTGACGCCTACCGGTGAGCGTTGTACTTGTCGTAAATTCCCGCTTCAATACTCGTTAGCACGTGGATCTATTCGTCTTTGATGCGTATGACATTTTCCTCACCGGGTTTATTTCAAAAGTTTACTTTATTCGTCGTATTTGTTAACAAAAGTGTACGCCGTCCGTGTTCCCAATTCAACGGTGTTCTACGAAATTTTTTAATAAATCCCCGGCAAAACTGCTCGAGCATTATTTTTCTGATGAAAGTTATAGCTTCAAAAGACAGTTGGGAGAGCACTGAATGGAGGTATATAAACACAAAAAGCTGTGTCGAATGAGCCTTGCCCAAGGGGTATTTATTTTTTGCATCAATCATCCATTCATGGAAAAGTCGAATCCAATATGAGAGGAAAATTGAGCGAAATTGTTGAGGGTATTACTCGGGATGACCCTGGGGCGCCACGTGAAATTGATTATTGAGGGTTAGATCAAAGAGGTAGAATTTAGCGATGGAGAAGTTTTAAATTTTTTACTGCAAGATATTCCCCGTGAACTACTCGATTTTTTTTTAATCCGTCGTCCTTCATAGCTATGTAGGTTTTCTATGACTCGGAGGCAGTGGCAAGTAACGGCCTAGTTTATAACGAATTATCGATCCTTAAAGCTTTTATGAAGTGGTGTTATAATTAAAACGTGGCGTGTGATGAAGTCAGTGAATCCTCCAGCAAGTGATTGTGATTCTAGGATAATGAGTGTTTCGTTGATTGATAAAACAATTATACGATGAAAGGAGAAAATGTATTGGGAACAAGTCAGTGAACTTTCCAGTGTTTAATTAACTCTTGTAGTAAAAAATATAGCAGCAATAATTAAGATGTAAGGTCTGAGACTATTAATTTCACTGGACGATATTGATTTCGGAATTATGTGAAATCTTCGGTGTGTGGAATTCATCGTCCCGGACATTCCAATTTCTCCTGGGCCTCTGGAATGCATCGTATGGTTATTGGTAAGAAACATTTAAGATTAATCGTAAATCACCTTCTGCATGCGGTTTCTCCTGCAAATTGTACGGAGGATTTTTTTATATTCATGAACTGGTATTACAAACTGTACAAAAACCTCTATACATGGATCCACAGAAAAGATCGCGTGACTGACATACCAGCACTACAGTATCGAGCGTTTAATCAGATCTAGGTCGTATGTTCGTTATAATGTAAGAGAAAAAGTTCAAATATAAAATAGTCAGGGGGGGACATTTGTCTACGATTACCCAACGACATTCCAATCTCCATCGTGACTTCCTTTATTCATCCGTTACGTTATTTATTCAATTGGCCAGAGTTGTTTCTTAGATTTTATGTAGAGACGAATGAAAGGCGCCATAATGTCGTCAAATTATTGATCCACCGCCGTTTTTCATTGTTGGTGAATATTTCTGTACGGCAGCATAATTTCTCATTTTTTATTGTTTATTAGCAATGAGAGGATTTTAAAAAAATATTTCAATTCATGTCATAGACATGGGGTAGAAAGATAATTCTTCAGAAAATTCGATTCGTCGGGGTTTAATTCGTCGGTGGATAACAGTGTGACGGGTCGTCGCCCTCCGTCGTCTTACGTCCGCATAGAACGCGCACTACTGTAGCCTATCGTCTCGTGTAAAATGAAGAGGGGATCCATCCCTTTGGGCTCGCCAAGGGTGGCACGAATATATACGCAATATATTGGCTACGTCAGTACGGCGGATACTTGACAGTGGCAACGGCAATGAAACAAGCGTAAGGAAATCCAAGTACAGCAGCATACCCCAACACCTGCATCAGGCTGCAGGAACAAATTGGGGCTATTTCCAACCGCACAGACTAGAGCAATACACTTACATTACGAACACATTCGTGCGTTTACGGGGGTGTTAGAGAGGGTAGAACACAACACGAGGGGTTTCTCCCGAGGGTGGGTTACAACGTCTCGACGGATCTGTTTTTGATGCTTGGGTAGAGTGCCTCGTATGTCGGATGGTCAGGGGCGCCTACTCGGCTCTTCTGGGGTTTCCTCTCCCATCCCCCAGTGAAAGTTCCAGCTGAAACACCCTCTGCGCAAAGTCATATCGTCATGGTAACGAGTGGTACGTCCACTGGTACGTGGACGCTGGTATTCGGTTCGATTCTCTTTACCCCCCAGGCCAATTCCTCTTCATTTCCGTATTTTGTTAAGATTATTTTTCAATTTTTCATTCTGTTGGAGGTAAATGATTTTATGAGGAAGCAATGAGAGTGGGATGTCGAATGTGGCTGTTGATAGATGAATGATGTATTTTGCAGATAAAAAAAAATATGCTGAATGAAATCAGCCGGTGATGATGTGCAAGTGAAATGCTGTTGGCCCAGAGTGCATTAATATCGACGATAGCGGGTGCCGTCGAGGAGGATTATGCCAACAGCGAAGCTCATAGCGGACAGTATGACGGCTATGTGACCGATCATACAGATATTGCTTCCGATATAGACATAAATGAGTCCGAATATCGTCGTGAACTCCTTAACGACGTAAGTACCACCCAAACTGGTTGGCGTTAGGACCTTCACATATCTCAGGGCTAATTCAAGTTCAGTACGTAATGCAATTATCTTGTCTGTCTTTCTAGAGATGGCGAATGCTGTTCGACAAGGTATTCCATTTACGTTCTCTGCAATTATGGGTGAATCCACTGTGCCCTTTGGTAATGGCTGAATCCATTAGGTTATTCAATATAATCTGATTTCACAGTTCGATCCAGAGGGTTTTGGCGAGATACCGCGCGACGATTTCCTTCGGGCATTAGCAAGCGACGAATGGAAATCCGAAGTACCAGCCAACAAGAGGGACATATTGTTGACTCGGGTCAAAGAGTCGTACGTCGACGCCATTACCTTTCAGGATTTCGTCAATGTGGTGAGTGATTTGACATATACAATGTTTACACAGATTACATATTAGAAATTATCTAAATTGATAAATATTGTAGGGAATTATATATTATATATACAGACACCCACATAATTCGATTGGTTAATTCGACACATCCTAAACTGTACAATGCGCTATCGCGAGGAATTATACATTATATCCTGTTCTACCCGCTAATTAAACTGCCGATAGTATAACGGTTGTCAATATGCAAACAAACTTTTTGACGTGAAGCTTGTACCCCGGATATTATATTGACTGGAATATCCCACAGCACAACAGTTGCATTCAATTCTCCCATGCTCAACTTCTCCAACTAAAACCACGGATTATGAAAGCCCGCCAATATTTTCCCCTATATTTACCCAAAACTCAGTTTTTAAAGAGCTGAATAATACTTTTTCCTCAATTCTGTTCACCATTGAGCCAAGTCCCTCAGTACGGGGTCATTGTTAATCGGTTATTTGTCAAAGCTTAAGACTCTGTAGCGAAAAACCGATGGAATTTCGCCAGTCGACAATGGACCCATGGGTTTGATGGAACCCCCAAAGTAGTCAAATGCACCCGGTGGAAAAACTCGCTCAAGATAAATATCTTTGACAATAATAATCCTCTCTGAGTATAGTGGTTTTTCGGGGTAATATGCCGAGAGAGGAAAAAAACGAGATCCGCTGACAATTTTGAGGTGCTTTTCTTCCTTCTTCTCCTTTTTTTTTACCTTTTTGCCCCTTTTTTTTGGGTACAACAGAGGAATAGGTACGTAAGCGGACTAAGCGGTAGCGTTGCTGAGTGGCGGAAAATTGGCCGGTCAATTTTACTATGGTTGATCGAAGTCCAGGGGATTTTTCACAAAAGAGATGAGGAAAATAAGAAAAAAAAAGTTTTGGCGTTGCATTGATAGTTGTCCAATCAATACCAACCGACGGTCGATTGGGCATATGTTAGAATGCATTCAGAACCCATTGGGATTACCTGAATAGTGGCCTAATCGTTCTCGATGGCTCGTCAACCGATGGTCACCCTTAAACCGACCTTATAATACCATTTATTGACCCCTCACGTTATTTATTCCCTTTATGTGAAAATTCGGGATAATTTGATGCAACTGCTGTCCCATTTGAACGTTACACTGATTGTTATCCATTTCTTTATCTGTCTATCCCTGTTTGGCTCCTGTAATTTCCGTCACCAATGCCGGACTTTTTCGGCGATGGTCAAACGAATGGAAGAGCTTCTCGAACCGTTGAAAGGAAATAATAGGGTATTCTATTAACAGTTGTTGTAAATGTAACGCAGTAGAAATTCGGAGCTAGAAAATTTTCCAAACTGTCCTTCCGTTGAAACGCACGGCATTGTCCAATTGGGGATGGCACACCAAATTACAGCCCCATGTCTCGACGCTTTTTTGTAATGGGGGCGTGCAGTTATGGTGACGAATTGTTGAACAAAGGAAGGCACATTATTGCCTCTAAAAATTTTGTGGCTATTTCCAAACGCTTGTTCGCCTCTTTTCTTGCTCCAAATGCATCCATCATATTCAAATGTTTTCAAGCGCATCCAACTGACATTCTGTCGATACGTTGGGGTTTATAAAGATATTGGCTCGGTAAGAAGAGCATTGTGATTATGCTATTTGCGGTGAATAGGTAAAAAATAAAGGCAAAAGTATATCCCTGCATTTACGCTCGAACTGAAAAACAGCATCGATACAGACGGATCCGTTTATCGTTTGGGTTTCGGGAGGAGTTTTTTTTTCTTCTTTCTCTTTTGTTTCTCAACCATCAGTTTTGTCTGTTAGTGAATCACTGGGGGGAGATTACTCGGTGGATTTGTGGGAGCGCGTAATAAGAGCTGGGGGCTTATTGCCCAGTGGAATCCTTTCACTTCTTCAACCTTTTCTGCACCTGATTTGTCGGGTAGATGTGGTCTCTTCGGCTGTTGGGGATCAAATCGCTCCCAGGGCAAAACACACAATAAGACTGAGATGCTTGAAAAGAGAAGTGGAACGATGGGAGAAAACGTAGAAAGATGATAATCAGTAATTTCCAACTTGTTCCACAGGAGTGAGCCCTTTGCGGCCTTGCCATCTCCACCTTACAAACTGGGCCAGTTTTGTCGATTATTTTGCTGCCACCTCTGAATAATATTTGGACTCGGTATCTTTTGTTACTTGTATCGCACTTATTTGTGCCTCGTTTTCTACCTGGACGATTGCTCAGCGTCTCGCGGTTGAGGAGTCGACCTTCGGCTTTTTCAGCAAAAAAGACCAATGGAATTGAATGATTGGGGGAGGTTTCCAAACCGAATGAAGACGGCTAACAGCGGTGATTAGTAATTAGTCCCGTGTCTTTTTTTTTTCCTGTGATCTGTTTTTTTGTCGGTGGATTTATCCGTTTGCGATTCAACTAAAAAATTCAACTAAAATGTGAATGATCTTCGAACTGTCATCGGTCACAGGGTAATCATTGTGCCGAGTAAATGACGAAGAGAGAAATTGGTGACGCAACGAATCTTACGATCTCGGTGGTCCATTCGTCGAACCTTTTTCTCCCTCTCGTTTTCTATATCTCCACCTTCTCAAATATTTTTTTTTCTTCCTCTTCACTCTATTATCTCCACCTCTCGTATATATATATGTTGAACAGAATTGGTGGAAGAGAGGGAGGTGATGGGTTCACACGAATACCTTTACACCTTTCGGTCCCACGAATTTCCATACTCGATATATACATTCGGCACTTGTGGCTCTCACAGTCTCACTTCACCTCCCACGATTTTTTGTACTCGTATTGCCGTGGTACAGTCTGCGGTGTGTGTTTTCAGCCAGAGGGCTTCTCAATGCATTACTCATGTGTCTCATCGAGTGATGACTCGAAAAACCGCTCTTTTAATGGTCACTTCATGCACGAATTCATTGACAATGGGGATATTTCGTTTCGCTTAATTAATTTTTGGCAAAACCATGAGTTCTTTTGGTAATCCAATATTACATCGTTGAATCACATTGACACCATTGAACTTCACCGGATTCACGGAATTTGATGTAATTTAATTGTTCTCGGTAATGCTATACCATTTACCATGATCACGTTAGCCATTTGAACCGCGAACCGAATAGTTTGGTTATTTTAAAATGATTGAAGTGACTCGTGTGATGTACGAGATAATATTTATTAATGTAATAAATTGTTAATCGGCGAGATTCTATGGGATAATTCTGGCGAATGTGGTCATGAAATAGTGAAATATATTATTCACTTCACATTCATCCCCACGCTGTCCTCAAACAATTGTAGTTTCAATTTGAATAACTGTAACAAATTCCTCTTCAGTTATGAAATTTACACTAATTTACAGAATTTCAATTTACGCTCGACCCAACTTTATCATACAGAAATTCTCATCTCAAACTCTGGTCGACCCTCCCGTCTCATTTATCTTTTCTGCAACTGTTGGAATAGTTTGAATTCCTCCGTGAAGCTATGCTCAGCAATTCAGCAAAATGTGTATTTATTTCTCATTTACACCATTGTATCAGATCCATAAAAATTATTCCAATTAAAATATTTCGGGGCTTGATTTTTATCATTCACCATAACATTCCGTCGATGAAAGGGATGGCGGACACAGTGACACTGATAAATGCCCTTCAAATCGAATGATAGATGATGAATGAGCAATCGCAATAGGGCCATCCACCTAAAACATTATTCATTATTCGAAATTCCTGAGCATCTTTCAGATGACTGTATCCATAACTTAAAAATGTCGTCGGATGATCAGACATAAAGAAAAATGACACGATAGTCCTATTAGCGTTTTAATTCCTCAAGCGAAAAACGCTAAAAGCATTCTGTAATCAGCCACTTATCTATGTAGATCGATAGTATTGGTGATCGCTGAATGATGCTATCTCATTGTTAGCATACCAAAGCACCCCATACTTCTACCCGAAAAAAGTCAAGAGGCTCCATTTCAGGATAAGAGTGGTTTCAAAAGAAGAAAAAAAAAGTAAGGGATAAAATAAATGAACGGTTCCACGGCGATTTTCAAAGTTGTACAAGACTGAAAAAGTCCATCCACTTGAGTTTGACATATTTCACCTCGTCTCCTGCTCTTGTATCCTTTGTTTTTATCTTATCGTGGAATGTAGGGGGATGCCGGTTTCCTCGACGCGACATCGTCGTTGTCTCTCGAATTAAAAGCTCGATAGGCTTACGAGGGTCCTATTGGGGCCTATTGGGGCCTATTGGGGTCTTAAACCAATATAGGTGGAGTGAATTTCGTGGAAGAAACGATCCTGATGGGGACGGTGGGACCCACCAGTGGCCGACGATTATCCTTTAGCGCGGCCCACTGCCAACATTTCGCCTTATCTCATACCTCAAGTTTCACCTTTTCAAACGGCTCTTAATTAGGGGATAATGGAAACAAAACACATCCAATCACGAAACACTTGAGATTGGTGGGACATCGGAGGGGGAATTTGATAAAGAAGGAATGTCGGTGGAATGGGAGTTGGATGAGTGGAATAAAAGTTGTGGGAGTAGGTGGTCGCATACTTTGCGCGCGTCTCAGGACCTCCCGAGACCGTTGTTCCTCGAGTCAGCGGGTAAAAAGACAACGACAAATCGACGGGGGAACAATTTACATACGGCTATATGGGCGAAATGGGGTCTCTGACGTGAGAGATGATAGTCGGTAACGCAAAAACGAATCGATGTGCAATAGTGTGGATATATATATTTTTTTTTTCCTCGGTTGGGCTTATAGAGACGTTTGTACATGGAGAAAAGAGGGACTGATTAACGATTTACTTGGTTATGAGAACAGAGTGGATGCAACGAGTCGAAGGTATTTTGTTGTTGGTTATTCTTATTTTTTTTATTCGATTATGGGGTGGATTTTTCTTTTGGTTTCGTTTTCTTTTTCGTTTTTATTTTTATTTTTTCGTCGTCTCTTTGACGGCAGAAACTGGCGCCGTG